CTCTTTCACTTTTTCTTTTCTTTTTAAAGTTTTTTTTTTTTTGAGACAGAGTTTCACTCTTGTTACCCAGGCTGGAGTGCAATGGCGCGATCTCGGCTCACCACAACCTCCGCCTCCTGGGTTCAGGCAATTCTCCTGCCTCAGCCTCCTGAGTAGCTGGGATTACAGGCACGCACCACCATGCCCAGCTAATTTTTTTTATCTTTAGTAGAGGTGGGGTTTCACCATGTTGACCAGGATGGTCTCGATCTCTTGACCTCGTGATCCACCCGCCTCGGCCTCCCAAAGTGCTGGGATTACAGGCTTGAGCCACTGCGCCCGGCCCTTTTTCAAGTTTTTAAAAACATTTATTTATTATTCATTTTTTTAGAAACAGGGTCTTGCTCTGTGGGTATGGCTGGAGTGCAGTGGCACAGTCACAGCTTACTGCAGCCTCCAACTCCTGGGCTCAAGCAATCCTCCCGCCTCAGCCTCTATGTATATTTCATTCAGTGTTAGTGTGTGGCTGTTATGATGGTGCTTTGAACCCACTGCTGTGACCTGACTGATGTTTTGATCCCAAGACATCTTGACTGTGTATGTATGTATCTATGTATGTAAACAAAAGAAATTACATATTAATATTTACAACTTCATTTTTTTTTCCTCTGGGAGAATAAGGAAAGTTTTGGGTTTGGGGGACGGTGGGCTCATTTCTGTGGTTCGTGCTTTGGGAGGCTGAGGTGGGACGATCGCTTGAGCCCAGTAGTTCAAGGCTGCAGTGAGCTATGACTGTGCCACTGCACTCCAGCCTGGGAGACAGAGCAAGACCCTTTCTCAAACAAACAAACAAACAAACAGTGTGGGTTGCCAACTCAACACCATCCAGCTGCTGCCAATATTATTATATGTTTTAGAAAAATCCATTGGGGGAGAGGGAGAAATGAGGGAGGGGCCAGTACTTACTGGAGAGGAAGAATTAAAATGATCATGGCTGAGGCAAGGCAGCTGAAAGAAAAGTGCTTGTCCACTGGGGAGTCCAGGAGGTTTTTTTTTTTTTTTTGAGATGGAGTCTAGCTCTGTCGCCCAGGCTGGAGTGCAGTGCAGTGGCACCAGCTTACTGCAATCTCTGTCTCCCATCCCAGGTTCAAGCAATTCTCTTTCATCAGCCTCCTGAGTAGCTGGGATTACAGGCGCCCGATACCACAACCAGCTAATTTTTGTATTTTTAGTGGAGATGGGAATTTCCTTTGTTGGTTAGGCTGGTCTCGAACTCCTGATCTCAGGTGATCCATCCATCTCGGCCTCCCAAAGAACTGGAATTACGGGTGTAAGCCGCTGCACCCAGACTGAAAAATGGTATTATGGAAGCTTTAGGGAGGGAAATATGGAAAACTTGAAAAGTATAGAAGAATCAGCACCACAGGAAAGAGAAAAAGAAAAAAAAATACAACGAAGGAGAATTTTAAGAGTGAACCTATGGATTATAAATTAATCTATGTTAGTATTCTTTGGGATATCTTTAAAAAGATTGGAATCACTTTTATTTTTATACTGAAATATATGAATTTTTGTTTTTATACTGACACCAGACACTTTTCTTTAAGAAAAGTATTTCTGGACACTTCGTTAAGGTAATTTAATGCCCTGCTTTTCTACATAACATGGTAGAAAGACCCCAATGTCGGCCATTCTCATTTCTTTGCAAATGGATTTATCTTCAGAGCATGGCGCTGGCACGGAGGTGGTTATTTCTGCTGCCCTGGATCCCTCTGTCCAGGTGTCAGCAGGACCCCCGTTCTTGCTCCGCCATTACTTTCAATTCCAGGCCTTCGGGTGGGCACTTCCGGTCTGGGGTTGAGCAGTGCAGCCCCCTTAACAGTGATTGACTCAGCAGCATGCAAATGAGCCAAGTTAATGCCATCGGATTGAGATTTGGGACTCACCTGGTAGTTACTTGGAAAATGTGTTGTTCTTCTTTTTGTTGGCACTTGAACCTGGCTGGGGCTCAGTGCTGGGAGAAGCTGAGTCTCAATGAAATGGTCTGGGTACCTGGATCAAGCTGGCTTTTTGCTACTGGAAGATAGCTGACTGATACAGGGATCGGTTTTTCCCAGGCACATTTGACAGCCAAGATCTTCTTTATTTATCAGTTCATCAATATAAACATTTACTCGTCATAGCTTCTAGCCTGGGAGGGTATTTGTGTATGTCTGTGGCTGGGTGCAGGTTGATGTAAGGGAACGGTTTCTTACCCAGTGCAGTTTCTCCAGGCTACATTCTGTACATCTAATGTCGTTAAGATTTGATTCTCACAATCCCAGCACTTTGGGAGGCTGAGGCAGGTCGACCACCTAAGGTCAAGAGCTCGAGACCAGCCTGATCAGCATGGTGAAACCTCATCTCTACTAAAAATACAAAAATGAGCGGGGCATGATGGCATGTGCCTGTAATGCCAGCTACTCAGGAGGCTGAAGCAGGAGAATCGCTTTAACGTTGGAGGCGGAGGTTGCTGTGAGCCGAGGTCTCGCCACTGCACTCCAGGCTGAGTGACAAGAATGAGACTCTGTCTCAAGAAAAAAAAAAAAAAATTTGATTCTTACATCGTTTTAAAGCACCAAGGTTGCAGTATGCATGTTTAGACATAGCTAATCTTTATTTTACTGATGCTTCCCCCCAAGCTTAATTTTCCAAGAGGTTTTGTTTGTGTTGCTTCTGTCACTGTTGCTAACCATTCCTATGTTTTCAATTCCATTTTAAAATTTGCAACAAATGTTACCATGCAAGGTTTAACTTTTTTATTGCATGTTAATTATTTCTGAGAGCAATACGCCTTATAAGATGATTAAATATTCATGATTTATATTTGTTGTTGGACTAAGAGGTCATATTAGTAGGGCAAGTCGCAACCTCTCCAGGCACAGCAGGGTCGAAATGGGAAAGTCAAAGCCTTTAGACTTGAAGCCTTTTTTCATCACCACTTCACAGATAGGAAAACTGAATCTTCACGAGATTAAGCTCTTCGAAGTTACACAGAGAGCAAATAGCAGAACTGGCATTGGAAGCCAGGCCTAACATCCATTCTTTAATTCTACAAATAGGTACTGAATACCTATGATATGCCATAAACTTTGTAGGCGCTGGAGACACACAATGAATGAAACAGGCCAAAAGCCCTGTTCCCTTGGGCTCTATATTTTAGAAGCGGCCGACCTCGTAGTCTGTAATCTCCACTTCAGCCTCTCATTAGTCACAGCCAGTCCTTTTTAGGGTGTAACCAGTTGGAGACCTCTGAGGGGCACCTACGGGGTGTCACCAGATTCTTTGAGATTGAAAAAACCCTAAAGAACGTTGTGATGGGGGCTCTCGAGCCACTTGTTCCAGCTCGCTCCCCTCTGCGGAGTGTACTTTCACTTCAATAAATCTGTGCTTTCATTGCTTCTTTCATTATGTTTTTGTTGCTTTGTTTGTGTGTTTTGCTCAATTCTTCGTGTGTGACATGCCAAGAACCTGAGCAACTCTCCGTCAAGAGTTTCCATCAGGTAACAGAACCACAGCACACCTAGAACCATGTCCAAAACGTCCTCTTTTTCTGTGTAGCCTGTTCTCAGGTAGATTTCTTAGGGCTGCCTTCTCTCTCTCTCTCTCTCTCTCTTTTTTTTTTTTAAAGATGGGGTTTTACCATGACGGCCAGGCTGGTTTTGAACTCCTGACCTCAGGTGATCCACCCACCTTGGCCTCCCAAAATGCTAGGATTACAGGCGTGAGCCACTACGCCCAGCCAGGGCTGCCTTCTCATGAGATCAAAACCACCTCCTCCTGGAGGTAGTAAAGACTTTAACCTTGTTTAAGAAGAAGTTTGGCCTGGCTTTCTCCTCCTGGAAGGCAATCTGTTTGCCTGGGAATCTTCAGCTAGCCAGAGAGTAACAGTGTGATTTGGGGCTTAACGCTAGGCTTTTTAACGCCAGGCTTGGGATTACATGGATATCACTTAACCAAGAGGCTGATATCAACTATGAAAGCAATCAGTCAATCACACACATGCAATGGAGCCCAGTCAAAGTTCTGCAAGCTGCAGCTAAGTGAGCTTCCCCGGCTGGCAGTGCTTTGTGTGTGGCCACACTTCAGTGCAGGGCAAGTAATGAGGCCTGACTCCACAGGGAGAGGATCACGGGAGGACCTTGAAGCTCCACACTCTAATCCCCAGGCTCCCCCACTGCTCTTCTTCCTGGGCTGATGTTAATCTGTATCATTTCCCTGTAAGAAACCATAGCTGTGAGTACAGTAATTTTTAGTGAATTCTGTGATCCCTTCCAGCAAATTATGGAACTCGAAGGTGGTTTTGGAAATCCCCAGAACTTGCAGTTGGTGTCGGAGGTGATGGTGGCCTCGGGGACTGTTCCTCCAACCTGTGTAGCTCACCTAAGCTCCTGCACCTTCATGACGACCTCTCTGCCAGTTCTTCTCTGTGCCCATGCCCCCATTTTCTTTTCTCTATTATTTATTTGTCTGTGTCTGTATTGCCTGTGTCTCCCGCCCAGAACTGCATCCCAGGACAGGGCCTGCGGGTGCTCTTCACGTTACCTCCCGCTAATGTTATGCTCCTTAAGCATCATGTGTGTTACATGATCCCTTCTCCTTCATTCACACCCCAGGCTGGACGTGGACCCTAAGAGAAGGTTCGGCATGTGTGTTAACCAAAGCTGCACCCAGCTCATTCCGGGAGCTTTGCTCTTTGTCACTATTCGTTGAATGATCTATATTTTAATAAATGAAATAATGGGTGTGAAAGCATAAGAGCAGATCAAGAAGGGACAAACAGCACCCGTAGCTCTCCTGCCAGCCTGGGGCTCAGCCGGGCCCCGCCCCTCCCCGCCCAGGCCCCGCCCTCGGCGCCCCGCCTCTCTGCCAGGCCCCGCCCTCGGAGCCCCGCCTCTCTGCCAGGCCCCGCCCCTCGGGGGGGTGCTCCCGCTGGAAAGCGCCGCCGCCTTGTGGGTCCGTGCGGGGCGCGGCGCAGGCCGGGCATGCGCAGAGCGCGCGGGGCGAGGTTGCCGTGGCAGCGCCGGCTCCTGGGAGGGCGGCGGGCGAGGGGCCAGGACAGCGGGGCCTGAGGCGGCGACCCGAGAGCCCGCGGCCCGGCCGGAGGCGGCTCGGAACAGGCTTGAGCGGCGGGGCGGGCGGCCCGGCCGGCGGGGATGAGGGACCGGCTTCCAGACCTGACGGCGGTGAGCCGCGGCCGCGGGTAGCGGTTCAGGCCCGGCCGGGGCGGGCTTTGCAGGGCGGGCGGGGGCTCGGGGCATCCTGGGCGGGGCTCGAGCGTTCTGGGGCGGGGGCTGCGGGCTGGGGTCTCGGGGAGTCCTGAGAGGGGGCTCCGGGCGGGGTCCCCAGGACGGGGTCTCGGGAGTCCTGAGAGGGGGCTCCGGGCGGGGTCCCCAGGACGGGGTCTCGGGGAGTCCTGAGAGGGGGCTCCGGGCGGGGTCCCCAGGGTGGGGGTCTCGGGTGTCCTGAGAGGGGGCTCCGGGCGGGGTCCCCAGGACGGGGTCTCGGGGAGTCCTGAGAGGGGGCTCCGGGCGGGGTCCCCAGGGTGGGGGTCTCGGGAGTCCTGAGAGGGGGCTCTGGGCGGGGTCCCCAGGGTGGGGGTCTCGGGAGTCCTGAGAGGGGGCTCCGGGCGGGGTCCCCAGGACGGGGTCTCGGGGAGTCCTGAGAGGGGGCTCTGGGAGGGGTCCCCAGGGTGGGGGTCTCGGGGAGTCCTGAGAGGGGGCTCGGGCGGGGTCCCCAGGACGGGGTCTTGGGGAGTCCTGAGAGGGGGCTCAGGCGGGGTCCCCAGGATGGGGTCTCGGGAGTCCTGAGAGGGGGCTCCGGGCGGGGTCCCTAGGATGGAGTCTCGGGGAGTCCTGAGAGGGGGCTCCGGGCGGGGTCCCTAGGACGGAGTCTCGGGGAGTCCTGAGGGGGCTCCGGGCGGGGTTCCCCGGACGGGGTCTTGGAGCTTCCTGGCGGGGTCCTCCGGGCCGGTTGGGGCCAGAGGAGGGGAGGGGAAGGGAGGGTCCCGGCCTTGACCCCGTCTCCAAGAGGGGTTCCCTGTCCGTCACTCCACCTGGCGGATTCTTATGCAGCCGGTTCCCACCGGCCTAACTGTCGTCCGCCCCTCGGGGTCCCCGCAGCGGCTGTCAGTCCCCGGGGCAGGCCGGGTCCTCTTGCTCGCTGTTTATCCCTTGGGCTTCACGCAGGATCCTGCACCCAGCGGGAGGCAACAGATGGGTGTTAAATGTGAGCGCCTTAAGAGTGCTAGGTGCTTGGGTGGGGCGAGCGCCAACAGCAGCCGGTGTCTGGTCTCCCCAGTAGTTTGCTTTGGGACCTGGACTTGGGTATGTTGACTCTGAACACACCTCGCGCTTCCAGCCAGCCGAGCACACAGGGGACTTGGCGGATGGCACAGCAAATTACTGTTTACTTTAGCAAGGGAAAAGCAGGTCGCTGAAGAATTTGGAAGGATTTTGATGCATTCTCACGTGTAAAGGTGACAGGACTGTGCATGTGACAGTGAAACTGTAGCTGTAGCCGTGTACTTTCCAGGCTTGTCTTGCCCAGGATGGCTTAGGGCAACGGGAGTAATAACGACTTTCCCTTTATAATGCGGGTGCCGGTTCATGCTGCGTGCGTACACAGGTGCAGTCGCCGGTTCACGGCTGCGTGTGTACACAGATGCAGGCCTTGCTAAGTTGCTGGCAGCCTCGGAACAGGGGTGCTAAGCCCCACAGCCCTGCAACACTCATTGCATGTACTGAGTGTGATGCTCTCTCCTCCGCTGCTAGAATGGAGCTGTTATGTACCCCCGAGCGGGAGAATAGGGAAAATAGCCACTTCCATCATTATCTGTGCTCTCTGGTTCAGACGAGGAGCTCTGGTTGAGAAAGGCAGTGATTTCATCCTTAGGATCCTGAAAATTATGCTTTGTATTCATCCCAAGAAATTTTCTTCGCAGTGATTTTTCTTCCTTTCCTTTTTTATTAATGGCCATCGATCAACGTCATGTTAAACACAGCAAATTACTGCTGTGCTGTCTTGCCCAGTAGCTTATCTTTCAGTGCCGTGTAGTGGGAGCTCAAACATTTATTTATTGACGGAATGCCATGACTCAGGCCTGTAATCCTGGCAGTTTGGGAGATCAAGGTGGGAGGGTCACTTGAGCCTGGTGTTGGAGACCAGCTTGGGCAACGTAGGGAGACTTTGTCTCTCCAGAACATTAAAAAATTAGCAGGAGGCCAGTCGCAATGGCTCATGCCTGTAATCCCAGCACTTTGGGAGGCCAAAGTGGGTGGATCACTTGAGGTCAGGAGTTGGAGACCAGCCTGGCCAACATGGCGAAACCCTGGCTCTACTAAAAATACAAAAGGTAGCCCGGACATCCTGGCACACTCCTGTAGTCCCAGCTACTCTGGAGGCTGCAGCTTGAACACGGGAGGCTTGCTGAGAACCGAGATCACACCACTGCACTCTAGTCTGGGCCACAGAAAGAGACTCTCTCTCAAACAACAACAACAGCAAAAACTAGCTGGGTGTGGAGGATCGCACCAGTAGTCCCTGCTACTCAGGAGGCTAAGCTAGGAGGATTCCTTGAGCGCAGGAGATAGAGGCTGCAGTGAGCCATGACCGTGCCGTGCCCCTGCACTCCAGCCTGGGTGACAGAGTGAGACACTGTCTCAAAAAAAAAAAAAAAAAAAGTTGCTGAATGTCATTGAGCGTGAGAGCTGTGGCTATTTTAGCAAAAGATGGCCACATTTATGTGTTGGGGAATAGTAGAAATCCCTTTTCTTGGCTTGAATAGCAAAACGTAAATAAGGCAGTTATTTGTCACTCAGTTTCTGTATATCCCAGCCCTTCCTGACACCGTTAGTGAGAACATGTACATCAATTTTCTCTAGAATGCTAGAATTAGAAGTCATCTAGTTCTGTACCATCCTGCTTTAGATGCAGCCACTGAGCAGCCAGAGAGTAAATCCATGGAAGTGTCCACTTTTGGAGTTTCTCATCTTGGACAAATAATTTTTTTTTTAAAGATGGGGTTTCACCATGATGGCCAGGCTGGTCTTGAACTCCTGACCTCAGGTGATCCACCCACTTCGGCCTCCCAAAGTGCTAGGATTACAGGCGTGAGCCACCGCGCCCGGCCGGGCAAATGATTTTTAAACCTCTCGAAACTTTTTCTTATGTAAAGTGGGGACAATGATCTCTCTCTTACCCACCTCATAGAGGGAGTTATGAAGCATAAAATTATGTAACATTTGAAGTTCTGGGAGAAGGTGGGAGGGAGAAAGTGCTATGTAATTATAAGTGCTATTAATATTTACCAGATTTTTTGTTTTTAGGAAGTTACAAAAAGCAGCCTTCTGGCTGGGAATGGTGGCTCTCACCTGCAGTCCCAGCACTTTGAGAGGCTGAGGCAGGCGGATCGTTTGAGCTCAGAAGTCTTTACAAAAACATACAAAAAATTAGCCAGGTGTAGTGGCATATGCCTGTGGTCCCAGCTACTCAGGAGGTGGGAAGATTGCTTGAGCCCAGGAGGCAGAGGTTGCAGTGAGCCAAGATTTTGCCACTGCCCTCCAGCCTGGGTGACAGACAGCCTGAGAACCTATATCAAAAGAAAAAAGAGCCACCTTCTTCCTAGTATAAAATAGTTAAAACTTAATTTGAAGTTTAATTACTTTTAATATTTAAAAACCCAACTTAACGTTACCAGGTACAAGTTTAGTTTTTTCCCCCCTTAGGAACTGTGTCCTTTGCAAGTAGTTCTTGGAGTAGTTGAATGTGTGTTCACAACCATGCCTCTAAATGGCTAGTGTTTTTTCTAGGTAAAGTTTCATATTTTGTTGGTTAAAATGCCTCATCTACAGTGTCCTTGTTAATAAAGTATTTGCGATGCTTCTAAAAAGTTTCTTTAATTAGCTGTTGTTGCTTGTTCCTGAGGAAAATGTACTTCTGATAATTACATGGAAAGGTCTTAAAACTTAATTTGCTCAATACAATTTGTATTGACAGGTTTAGTTTCTACCAGTCGTTGGGGCATAGAAAGGTTACATGACTTGCTCCAGATCTCTTAGACTCCAAATCCAGAAAGATAGTTCTGATTTACAGGAAGTAAAAGACGAGCTTATCCAACAGGCTTGAATGTCAGGTCTCTACCAGATCACGTGCTGGGAGCAGAGAGACACGGCACTGAATTGAGCTCGGGGGGCTGATGCATGCAGCCCGGGGAGAAAGGGTGGCTGAGGTGTAATGAAATTCCCTGTAGGATATAAGCAAAACAGCTCTTCTATAAGGTAATGACCCCAAACATTTACTTACTTCTAAACTAAGTTTATGCACATTGATAGATTTGTTATAGTGAAGAATAGAGACACTACCCACTTCATCTGTGGGAATTGTTTTCATGATAATAATAAATACACAGTAGCTATGTGGTGTTCTTAGTAGCCCTAAAAGAAATGAAAACATTGTTTTTCATCCTGGGTTCAAAGTGATGAATTGCAAATATAGTCTCTCTTTTTTTTTTTTCTTTGAGACTGTGTCTTACTCTGTCACCCCGGCTGGAGTGCAGTGGCACAATCACGACTCAGTGCACCCTTGATCTCCCAGGCTCAAGCCATCCTCCCACCTCAGCCTCCCAAGTAGCTGGGACCACAGGCACATGCCACCATATCCAGCTAATTTTTGCATTTTTTATAGAGATGGGGTTTCACTGTGTTGCCCAGGCTGGTCTTCACCTCTGGAGCTCAAGCAATCCACCCACCTTGGGTTACCAGAGTGCTGGGACTTCAGGTGTGAGCCACCACGCCTGGCCTGCAAATATGATTTCTTAAAGGGCGGGAAACATTGCTCAGATATTTTTAAAAAGCTAATTTTTGACAGCTCATGTTTGCACATGTGGTGCAGAATGTTGTATAGTGAAGATTCGGGTTCCAATTTTTAAAATAAGAAGATTAAAAACTTAATTGGGGCCAGGCGCGGTGGCTCTCGCCTGTAATCCCAGCACTTTGGGAGGCCGAGGCGGGTGGATCACGAGGTCAAGAGATCGAGATCATCCTGGTCAACATGGTGAAACCCCGTCTCTACTAAAAAAATATATATATACAAAAATTAGCTGGGCACGGTGGCGCGCACCTGTAGTCCCAGCTACTCAGGAGGCTGAGGCAGGAAAATTGCTTGAACCCAGGAGGTGGAGGTCACG